TTATACTTGTTCCATTTGTTAGTATTTGCATAACTGTAACAACTACTTTATTGTTTTTCTTTTTTACAATCAGGATAACTGTAATAACTATTTTGATTAACTTTATCTTTTTTATTAACTTCTTTGGATCAGTCTTATAGTTTGCATATGCAGTCATGTATAAGATACAGGGTGACGGGCCACCTTGTGCATGTGGGAGGGGTCGCATGAATCTTTATACGGCTGGAACATCTAAGAATTATGGACGATCATTCTATAGATGTCTAGCTTGGGAGGTATACAATTTTCTTTACATTTCCGGAATATTTTAAATACATCTTAGTGTTACAGGTGCATTCTGATAATGTACAACTCTTTTTTCTAATTTAGTCACATGATCGTGCATTTATATGGTTGGATGACATGCATCAACGTCTGTAAGTGGGCGGTCATGTACAGGAAGAATTGGAGGATGTAGTTGCTGTTATGCAAGCTCAACAAAATCGAGAAAACTACATTATTTATGGATGTTGTTGTTGTCTTACTATAACTATATTCTTATTGTTTTTGCTCATATTGTTGTTGTTTATTATTGTCGCTGTTGAGAAATGATGTTGTATTGAAAGTTTAATTTTATTTCATGAACTTTTATTATGACTGTTGGCGAATGCTGTAATATTTTTTATACTCATGTATGTAATATATTAAAATTCATGAAACTATGATCTTTTGAAACTTTATTTCAGTTCCATATTTGAATTTTTTAATTTATTTATATGGTTATTATAATAAATTAATATAAATGGAAGAACAATATTTCCGGCGTAATATAATCATTTTTTGTAACTTTATACAATAACGTTAGAAAAAATGTATTGAAGAAAATATTATTTAAAAACATTTTTAATCCAACATAGTTAATTATTTTATTTATCAAATTAATTTTGGTTACACTTTGAAACACCAAACATGTTTTGTTCTCATATTTCTTATAACAAGATACATTACCAAACATATTCTACCATATTTTTGTTCCATGATTCGGTAGAGCAAGCTTGGAACACCAAACATGTTTTATTCTCATTCCAGAACATCACACTACAAAATACTTATTCTGTTCTAGGCTAGAGCAGTACACTACATCACACTACACTTCCCAAACGGGGCCTAAGTATTCTATATACAAAATATTTTGATATTTAATTTTTTTATAATTTATTTTAAATTTTTATATAATAAATAATAATGCAAAATTATTCTTATATATAATTTTTTTATTCTTTACAATTTTTTACATTACACTTCCACTCACATGCATTAAACGCATGTTTTACTTTTAGGTTTGGTCACTTCATTCTCTAAAATTTATATTTGCTTATAAAAACACTTCTTAAAGTCATTCTTTTCTTAATAATGTATGTCTATGAAAACATCAATCTTATTTTATTATAAGTAAGGTTAAGTTTTTAAGTCATTTGAATAAAACATCTTTTTTAAGTGTTGAATTACACATATATTTATCTTTTTGAATGCTACATGAAATTAAAGTAACCTTGTACTATGGGTGTTATGGGTGCCTAACACCTTCCACATGCACAACTAAACTCTCGAACCTTTAATCCAGTTTATATAAATTAAAATGGATGTCAAATAACAAATATTTAAATATCCTTTCAAGTCCTTAGATATTCTAAGGTGACCTAACACAACAAAACCTTATTTTATGTGACAACTCCAAAATAAATAATTATTGATAATAGTGCAAGACAACAGTCTCTACCTAATAAACAAAAATAAAAGTGGGACTAAAGAAAGTAAAAAAATGACCGTATTCGGTCTGACCCATGGTGGGTAAATGTTTTCATTTGCCCTTGTACGTGGTCGAGAGCCATTATTCGGTCTTCATCAACATCATCAAACTCTATGTACATTGTCTCACTATATTTGCCGGGAGAGAGATCGTTCTTGAGCATGATCCAGGAAGAGAGTCTCCCCACTTTGGGACGAGTAAGTCGCTGGAGGCGTGGTTCTAAGTAATCGTAAAATCTTAGTCGGAATCAAATCCCAAACCTGGTGCTAAGAAGGCACTAAAGTCCAAGTGATTTTATCACTAGGCTAATCCCTTGGGTTACTTGACCTACAGCTTTTGGTTTTATCTTGGGATTACTTGACCTACACCTTTGGATGGGTCATCTTTACCAAATATAAAAAAGTGAAATGTCCTACTGCCTTATATTTTACATAAATGACAAATTAAAACTTATACGTTAAGCAAATCACTTTAACTAATCGCGCCTTAAAATCATTTTCCAAACCGTAATGGCACCTAACATTTCTCAGGACTTCTCTGCTTGCTCTTGTTGGATTATTGTTTTTTACGGACTTTTCAACTCTCTTATGCTCTCAACAGATGCATAAACTAGATATAATAGAGAAAATAAAAAATGTATAGTATGGCCTCGTGTATCTTTGATGTACTGGATTATCTTTTCCAATGAAATTAACTCATTTATGAAGAAAAAAATTAAAAATAGACAAATAAAATAAAATAACAGAAACTAGACCTTATTGGACCCTGAATCACTAGCATTGTTAATTAATCATGTAATCACACTCTTAACCGACCAAACCTACTGCTTGATTAAAGGAGTCAATCAATTCCAAGTTTGCAAAAATTTGCAAAGAAGATTTCAATCACAAGTCTTACTCTCCACAATCTACTTTCATCCCATAAGAATTTGTAAGAATTACAGAAAGCATCTTCCAACAACATTACCATATTGCTAAGGGGTCGAGTGCAAAAACACCCATAAAGTATACTTGCATTGCATATCACACCCATCACATGCAAAAAACACCCCTAAAGTTTCAATTTGGTGCAAATAGGTCCCTCTAACAAATTTAAACCCTAAGTTGACTAAATTACCCTTACTGAACCATTTTATAAAATATATAAAAATAAATAATTTTGTAAAATGACCAAAAATGACACTATTGGATGATGCCCCTTTAGTGCAAAAAACACCCCTAAAGTTTCAATCTGGTGCAAATAGATCCATCTGATAAATTTAAACCCTAAATTGATTAAATTATCTTTATTGAAATATTTTATAAAATATATAAAAACAAATAATTTTATAAAATGACCGAAAATGACACTATTAGAGAACGTCGACAATGGACAAGTAAAGATAAAAATATAAAATAAAAATAAAAGTAGAAAAGAAAAGTAAAGATAAAAATAGAAAATAAGGAAACAAAAATAAAGTACAAATTAAAGAAATTAAATTTTTTTCAAACTCCAAAAATCAGTGCACACTGATTTTGGGAATTTTTTTTTTTTTTTGGTTTAACAGCGTTGGTACGAATGGTTTAACAGTGTTGGTACGAAAAAAAAAAAAAATAGTAGAAAAGAGTAAACTGAAATCTTAAAAAAAATAAAATACTTATTCTACAAATTCTCAAAGTTTTAAAAAAAAATTGTTTAGATATAGAGAAAAAAGTTTCAAAAGAAAAAAAAAAAAAATATATATATATATATATATATATATATATATATATATAAGGTAATGTGCACATAACACCCATATATTATGAGATTAGTAGCATATATATCCCTTTGGGCATTTTCGGAATAATAAAAGGGCAAAACGGATATTACAACACTAATTTATGTCAGATGAGGTATTTTTGCACAATGTGAAAAGATTAAGAGCATTTTTTGTACATTTTTTCAAATAAGGGATAAAAGTGCTACGCATAGTATACTTTATAGGTATTTTCTACACTTGTCCCTATTCCTAAGACATGACAAACAGTTTGCTAGGTAGTCAAAAATGATTTTCTAGGTAGTCAACCAGGAAAAATTCCTTATGTCTTTCCCTTTTGAAAAGTACTATCCTTTAGTTTGGTCTGTTGATGGTATGACTGTAACACTTACGTAAAGAGTTCACCGGTTTCTCTAAGCTGTGAAAATAAAGAATCCCCTAAACCTATCAACACTACTCAAATCGGCCAGACTTTGGGCCAGAAATGACAAATGCCTTGCAACGACAAAAATTCCGGAAAAAAATGAAAAATGATGAAAAAATGAAAATATTACACATATATACCCCCTTAGACATTTTCGAAAGAATAAAAGGGCAAAACAGATATTACAACACTAATTTATGTCAGATGGAGTATTTTTGCACAATGTGAAAAGATTAGTGATATTTTTTATACACTTTTTCAAATAGGGAATAAAAGTGTTACGTAGAGTATACTTTAGGAGTGTTTTCTACATTTGTCCCTATCCCCGGTTTCTCTAAGCTGTGAAAATAAAGAATCCCCTAAACCTATCAACACTTCTCAAATTGGCCAGACTTTGGGCCAGAAATGACAAATGTAAGACTATGAGTCTGAGAGGTTCTTAGGGCGAAGGATAGTATCTGGATGTGGCAGGACTTCCCCATTAATTTGGGATTCATACATATCAGGAGGGGGCCTACTTACTTAAGTCTTTGGATGGGGAAATACATGCTCATGTTTCAATCACAAGTCTTACTCTCCTCTATCTACTTTCATCCCATAAGAATTTATAAGAATTACAGAAAGCATTTTCCAACAACATTACCATATTGCTAGGACATGACAAACAATTTGCTAGGTAGTCAAAAATGATTTTCTAGGCATAGTAGATTTAAACTCAATTACGAATGCTTTAGCAAAAATTAAATAGGAGTAGTGATACATTTCAGAATTCGGAAGATGCATAATAGAAATTATGTGAGTGGGGTGTGTATCCCACCAAATAATATCATAGTCATATCATCACTAGCAACACAAAATTATACTGTTGCATCAGTTAGGTTTGACAGATGCCTTAAGAATGTAGCATATTTACCCTCCAATCATTCTATGCATCTCTATAGGTTATTCATCAAAAACCTGAAATGCTCTATTTTATGCCAATTGTTAGAAGCATACTATTTGGAATGACACTAAAGATCACTTTATATTTATTTGAATCATCAGTTTGGGTCCTCTGTTTTTGTTTTCAATGGAGTCTTTTCAGTCAAATTTTACCCCTACCAATGATATGTTAGATGGATTCTGCTAATTCAATTTTTAAACCTCTATCACATCAGTTAAGAGCATTACATACACACACACACACACAAATATTTAACTTCAATCAAAAGAGGCAATTTAGCACATCAAATTTCTCAAAAGAAGCTATTACACACACACATACACACACAAGAAGGAAAAAAAAAAAATCAGTTATGTTTGCTTATCAAAAGAACATTCATCATCATTCAGATCTGAGAAAGACGACAAGACGCACCTTAACATCATACTCTTTACGTTGTAAACTCCCCTCCATTTGAGTCTTGTTTATGATCCAATAACACATAAAACATAAGATTGACAAATAGATGAAATATACAATAACCAAATGTCTTAAAGATGTGTGTTCTGAATGCACTGTTGCTGGTCCTAATATGTTAAGGTGTTAAATACACCCTCACAAGCATTATGATAAATGGAGTTAATTAAACTTTCTAATAAATAAATAAACAAATGGAGTTAGTTATGACTACAATCAGAAGAGTCAACTAAACAATGATATGGAGAACAAATATACGAGGAGAGACCTAAATTTGCATGTGGTGTAAAAAAAAAAAACCACCTAAATTTGCAGCCAATATTATTATTTTTTTAATTCTTCTTATTTTGATTATTAAATCGAACAAGAAGAGAGAGTCGTTTCTAAATGCTCAAAGTCTAATTAGGTGTTGGAAGACTAATCACTTCTCCATAGCAATTCACAAGCATGTAATTGTCAATGACATGCATACTAAAAAACCCATGCTGCAAAAACATTTTGCACCAAGGGCTTCTTGTTGTCTTGAAAGTTTAGTAGGAAAAATAGAAATGAAATCACACAACAGAGATATATATATATATATATATATAGATATATAATCTTCACATATAGTAGAAAATAAAAACAAATAGAAGAATTAACTTGATGAGTCTTCTAAAATTTTATTACCTTATTCAAGCGACTAATTATGCTGTATGCTTTGATGAACTCTAACGTGCGTCAACCTAGTCATCCTCATCCACGAAGGCCACCTAATCCCGATTTAAAGAGTAGATAAGGATCTTAAGCCCATCATTTCCCATCATCTTTTGTTCTTCTTGAATTTGCCGGGCAGAATCTTCAGCCGAGCGTTTACACCATCTCACTTGAATCATCTCTAGAGTAGGTATATCCCCTAAACTAGATGGGATCTCCTCAAGCCACTGACAGTCATTCAACACCAACGTTTGAAGGTTGACAAAGTGATCATTACAAGTGTTCCATCGCTTAATAAACACGCCTTGAAATTTCAGGAATCTTAGTTTGCGAAACTCCCCATCATTTGTGTCCCATGTTGGTCCTTCGAATGCCTTGTATGATAATTTGAGAACCTCAAGGTTAGGTAACCTTCCAAGGAATGACATTTTCTCCCATGGTAGACGAAAGTATGATAAAGTAAGGCTTTTGAGATTTGGGGGGAACGCATACATATGTGGATTGCGCCTATGTAATTGACTTGTGGTTGGAAAATGTAAGTCCAAATGGCATAAATTCAGGGTTTCAAGGTGAATTAGAAAGTTCAATGTTGGAAAACCATAATCTTGGCATTTTAGTTTTTTAAGATTGGGAAACAATTCCAAGCCACACATGCCTCCCGAAAGATCTAATTTGCCTATGGTCTGTAGGTTATCCAATACAAAGGAAGATCCATCACCAGGTACATCAGGAATTTCGATAAATCGCCTGGTATACACATGTCTCAACTTCACCATTCTAGTAACATCACATAAAACCAAGGAACCTCTTGGTCCAGCAATCATAATGGTTTCCAGGTTCCAGAGGTTCGACATTGATAGTTGAAAATGCTCATGGTCAACATGAAGTGCTAAATACCTCAAGTGAACCAGCTTCTCTATTTCTTTCGGAAAACTGATGTATATGATGGACAATAAATTTATCACCCTAAGAAGTTTGAAGGCTTGACAAACAAATGAGACGTGCTTCACAGGCAAGTTATAAACCGAATGGCTAAAGGATAAGAAAGATCGGATGTGATGCTCGAAACCCTTTAAAGAAGTATAATCAACAATGTTATCCTGGATGCACATGCGACGTTGCTTATATGCAAAGGGATTTGAAGAAGATGAAGATGTCTGTTCATACTGGAGAACCTGTTGAAGGAAAATCAGTTCTTGAGCTTTTCTCAGGCATAAATCACGCAAGAGATCATGAACACGACACACTTTGATTTTACCATTGGACTTTCTCTTGGAAGCAATTACTAGACTTCTGTCAATTAGATCCATCAAGTAATCCTCTGCCACTTCCTCCAAACTTTTCTCATCATGTTGCTGTATGAATCCCTCGGCGACCCATAACCACATCAATTGCCACACAGGTATTTCATAGTCTTCTGGAAATGCGCCAAAATAAAGGAAGCATGGTTTCAGGTGATGAGGCAAGTGGTTGTAACTCAATTCCAGCGTGTTCATGTACTCCTTTGGGTCAGTTGCAATATATGAACTTAAACCTTCAGCAACTTGCCTCCACCAGTATTGTGTCTTCTCTTTCTTTGCAAGAAGTCCAGATACTACAACAATTGCAAGTGGTAGTCCTTGGCATTTTGTGGCAATTATCTTCCCCATTTCCAATAACTCTGCAGGGCAGCTTTCTTTCTGAAATACCTTCTGTTCCAGTAGTTCCCAACTTTCATCTTCGGTCAAAAACCTTAAATAGTGAGGTTTGGCATTCAAAGACACAGCAACATCTACAATCCGACTGGTGAACATAATTCTACTTCCGTTGTTATCATTTGGGAAATATATCTTCAAATTATCCCAAGCTCCAATGTTCCATATATCATCAATAACAATGAGATATTTATTACCTTTTAGGCGTTTGTACAGCTCTTCACCCAACTTTTCATCGTTCATTAGGTTAATATTGCCTGTAAGCTCAATACGTGCAGAACTTAAAATGCTAAGCAACAAGTCTCTCTTCTGGTACACTTGAGACACATAGGTCCAAGCACGAATATAGAAGTGATATTCGATGAAAGGATCATTGTACACTTTTTTGGCCAAAGTTGTCTTCCCGAGCCCAGGCATCCCAACGATAGGGATAATTTTTAGCTGTTTTTCATGTTCTTCAGTAAGCAATTCTATTATCATTGTCACATCATCACCAAAACCCACAATGATTTCACCCTTTACAATAGGGTTGCTGGCTCTCGATGATGAAGCTCCATGAGAAGACTTTCTGATTTGTGGGACATCGATGCCATACATCTTCTTATCATAAATCTGCAACACTTCTATCTTGATAGACTTGATCTCTTCTACAACGCTCTCTAAGTCGTGTTGAGTTTTCTCAGCTGCCTTCAATTTAATCTCTTCCATGAGATCCGTTATCTTTTCACTATCATCAGCCTCTTCTAAGACACTCTTCATCTTTTCAGAATCGTGCTCTCCTGTGACATTCATCATCTTTTTCGGAGAGACAATATCACTTCCATTTGTCTCTTCTGCATCGGCAGTCTTCATCGTTTCAGAATCATGCTCTGCTGTGACATTCATCATCTTTTTCGGAGAGACAATATCACTTCCATCTGTCTCTTCTGCGTCGACAGTCTTCATCTTTTCAGAATCATGCTCTCCTGTGACATTCATCATCTTTTTCGGAGAGACAATATCACTTCCATCTGTCTCTTCTGCATCGACAGTCTTCATCTTTGTAGAATCAAGCTCTCCTGTGGTATTCTTCATCTGTTTGGCAGAAACACAGGCAAGACAACTTATTTGACCCATAAAGGAGTTAATACCTTCCATGAAGTTCCTCTTCTTTCTGGAAAAAGCATGGACAAATTTTCTCAACCATGTCACATCTTTATTTTTGCTGAGTTGGTACTCACGCACCCGTACCTCCACTGAAGCTAGAGGTTTTGTATCGTTGGACCACTGATCTATTGATAAACATGTCACATCTTCATGTTTCTCTGACATGCAGCTCCTTTCGTTTTGCATGACTGCATTGGCTATGATCGAGTCAATGATATCTTCAACCTCACAAGTCACATCTCTAATTCTTGTCACGAGATCATTCACTTTCTGAATTTCACTGCGTATTTCCTCCGTATCATAGAGAAACGCTCGCACGCATTGAAGCTCCGAATAAAGCCATTCAATTTGGTCTTTTCTGATCAGCTTGTCCTCATAAACCTTGAGAATCAGTTCGTTGTTGCAGTTTATCAGCTGTACCATGTTCTCCAACAGAAAATCGAGAGCAGTGTCTGCCATCTCTAACTCGATTCAATATTCTTTTTGTTTGAATTGGCAGCTGGTAATTGATCTCTCAATGAACAAACAGATCATACAACTGCATAGAAGAGAAAAAAAAAAAAATGGGTAACTGTGACACATTCTTTAATAATATAAACAAAATTGTCAATTATGATCTCAATTTCTCCGCTTCAGAGGCCGGCCGTGTCCGTTTTATCCTGATTATAATATTATTGGATGAAAATACCAAAGCCGATAATATTTAACATAAAGGTGTAATTTATTGTTGCTTACCTACCATAAAAAAACAAAGGTGCTTAAAGTTATTTAAAATCAGCAGGATCAAAACCCCCTCCCATTAGCTTTTTTGCACTATCAAAGGAAACTTTTGTTACTAAAAGGGTGTGAAATGGACCATAAACAAATAGTAACAAACTTCACATTTTACATCATTATAATAGTGACGAAAGATATCACATCATTATAATAGTGATAAATTTCACAACAGAACCGTGTAAAAGGCTCACTGGGGATGATTTTGATCCGCAGTTGAATTACCTGATGCAAATTCACATTGCAACTCAAATATGAGATTTTTGGCATAATTTGGGTATTCCAAATTTTCACTGCTCTAACAAGTTCTGTTCAAATTTTACCTAAAATTCTGAAAGTGTAAAAACGCCGCTCTATAAATTTTTTTGAAAGAATTCCCTTTACCATAACAGAGCAATTAAATAGCAAAAATGCACTTATTTATACAACTCGAGAAGAAAAGAAACTCGTGGGATAACTTCTCTTTCCAAAGAGTACAGAATACAATCTTGGTTGATTGTGGCCTACATTTATGGTAAAGAAAATAAGGAGTTTGGAGGTTTTACATCTACTATCAAGATTATTTAGACATGTGCATTGTATTAAATCAGGTATATATAGTTTTCTGAATTGTGCTAAACAAAGTCATATCACCAAGGTCGACCTTCCCATAGTATAATTTACAGGTAAGAGGTAAAATAATTCTGAGCATAGTACTAAAACCAAGATTTCCACTGTATTGTTGTTACTTGAACGGTAATGAATTTGCATCTTCTAGTATGACCGGGAATGACAACCACCATAACCGCTGACTTTGCAGACTATAACGACCCGATCCCGAGGGTCCGAATCGCTAATCGGGTCCTTACCCGAACCTGAGGCCAACTAAGGGCACTACCGTCATTTCCTATGTCAATACATAATATACGTATCATCCCAGGGTTTATAAAATAATAATAATAATAATAATAAAATGATATCATAGTTACAAGGTATGTCAAAATGGTCTACTAACCCATCGAACCCTGTGGAGGAGCGTCGTCTGCCACTTCCTTTCCATGCCCTGAAAAATGATAAATATAAGGGGTGAGCAAATTGCTCAGTAGGTGGTGTCTAAGGCACACCTCTTGTGACCCCGTGAATTCACACAATGAGTAGAAAAATAAAAAAGCAGGATCATACCATACCGGGGTAAACATAGCAACAAATTTGACAATCCAAGTCATAATTAAATTATGCCGTGCAATAGGATGCAATGTCATGCAATGTCGCACCCCAATTTTACCAAAACCATTTCTGCCACCATTTCCAAACCATTAATACAACCCGTTCCATGGCAGCTCAATGGCGGCACGAGAGAAGGATTGGCTAACGGTCCCTGACCACAAGGCAAGTTCCAAGACGTCATTTGGGGCCCAGTTAACTCAACCACGCTAGGACAGTCTCCCTAGTTCTCTCTAGATCACATTAACGCCACGGACCCATAGGCAATCTCCTAGGCGACCGGGTTTTTCACAAAACTTTCCATCAAAATCTTTCCCAAAATATTTTCTTTTATTTCTTTCAAAAACAATTTTCCATTTCAACTCAAATTTTTCCCCTTTTCATGCTTAACGTCATGCATGAATGCGTCATGCATTTCCATGTTATGTCAATATCAATTTCCACATATTTTAATTACATCATTCTTGCATACAAAATAAAATCAAATCAAATAATTAACTCAAAAGCTTCAACAAAAATCGAACTCAAATTCATAACATATAACATTCTAGGCATATAAGGAATTTAAACTTAGCATGCTTTTTCATATAATTTCAATTAAAACATGTTCATAGCACTAATTTCTCATATAAGAATACAACTAGCATGATTATTACACATAGCCCATATAACCACAAGCAAAATCATATAATTAAGACATGGTGGAGTCAAATAATAGAGAAATAATTCACCGAAATCAAAGATTGCATGCATTAGATACCCCTACCTCTAATTAAGCAAAAATCTCCAATTTCACCTCAAACCCTAGGATTTAGAGATCCCCCCAATTGGTGGCCAAATGGAGATTGACTCCGATCAAATTGTAGACCTCGTCGTGCTCTTCGAAGAGCCGCAAACGGCTTCCAAAAATTCCAATTGATAAGGAAGGAATCAAGATTTGAAGTTTGAAGTAAAAGAAAAGAAAAATGGAAGCTTGAGAGAGAGTGAGAGAGACCAGCGGGAGTGAGAGAAAAATGGTGAGAAATGAGACTAAAATGTGGTCTCTAATTCTCTTTAAAGGCTAAGGTGGGTCCCACCAATTTCTTATTTTATTTTCCTTTTTCTTTTATTCACATTTTACACCACATATACATATACACACATTAAATAATTTTTATCACCTTATAAAACACATTAAATAAAATTAAATATAATGTAAATAGACCCAATTAAAATCCTCGTGCACGACAATTCCGGTAACGGGTCCCACACGGGACCGTCCGGCCCGAAAAACGGAAAAATGCGAAAATGACCACCCTTACATTTCAAAAAGTCCTAGACTCAATGAAATACCCCAAATAACTTTCAGACACAACCGGCACACTCCACAGTGTCCAGTGCAAAAAACGACAAAAGATGAAAATGCCCTTGGCCCCTTGCTGCGACAAAATTTCCAAAAAAAAATGAAAAATGGCAAAAAATGTAAATATCACACAGACTACCAAACAAATTGCATCAATCACAGGCTCTCAAGTCGACAAACTGAGATCATCGTCCATAAAAAAGTATATTAAATAATCATCGATCATATATATTTCATGTTAAGTAAAGTCAATTGTAAAAAATGACAGCCATTGCGAATATTGCAGTTCATAATTGTAACTTGAAGATTAATAATTTCTAAAATAACGGTTGATTGCATTTGCAGTTGTATATTAAGTTATTAAACTTTGTGTAATCAATATATTTAAAATTGTAATCTATCTCTCTAGAGTGAGCAGAAGGTGTTAATCTGTGGATAGACATGCAGTTGACAGTTTTATTTTAATTCAATCCTCATAGTTGTCCACATTTTATTGGATTAAGTTTTGAATAATTTAATAGTTTTTTTTCTTATCAATTTCTTGGAACATCCAAGTTATTATGATTTGAGTTTTAGCTTAAGAATACCCACACCTACGTTTACTTTGCATTATTTTTGAACCCTTTGTTAAAAGTACCTGTTGTTAATTTGTGAATAGTGTCATCCACCCAGAAATTATTGGGTACTCAGCCTTTGATGCATATTGCTACTTCATCAAGTGACCCAATCAAACAGTTGATGCAAAACTTTTTAAGGGAGGACAGTGCACTGGATTTTCTGTTGGAGAACATGATGCAGCTAATGAACTTGGGCGAGGAATTGCTTTTGACTGCGAAGGAAGAAATGGAATGGGTTTATGAGGAGATGCAGTTTCTGCGGAAGTTCCTCAAGATGGATGAACTTACGCGACCAGCTGAAAGAAATTGTTGCAAAATTAGAGAGGTCACTTACCAAGTTGAAGATATCATCAACCCATTCGTATTGTTCAACATTGTCTTGAAGATAGATGGAAGCGTGGCTGGCATTGAATTTCCTCGATCTCCTCTTCAGTAGGTTCAACGACATTATGAAGATAAGGATATTTATTGTGATTCTGTGGTCATGGCTAAGAAAATTAGTGATGGCTCTAAGACTTTGATGATATAAATTGATTGTATCAAGTTGATTTCCAAGACAGATGATAGAGATTCTCTCATGGCTCGAATCTCAAATGCCTGCAAAGAAAATTCATCACCATGGACATGGCTTTGATGATGATGATGATGATGATGGTGTCTTATAAGAAGAAGAAGAAGAGACCAAGTCACTCATAAATCAGGTGATGGGGATTCATGAGAAGGGATTGTGTACTCTCAGGTGGATTGAGTCATCTAATGTGTATGAAGAGGTTGTTCTCCACCGCAATGTGTCTGATAAGGTGCTCTACTAGGATGAGAAAGATCCTAATCCCATGGGTTGTTACGAACGAAGGATTTTGTTTGGAAGGCGCTGTTTCCAAATCCCATGGATTGTTCCTCTCGTCTTCCGTAGGTTCAAGGACATGGTCGACCTGGCTAAGAAAATTCACCATCAATTTGGCTGTGTCATGGAAGAGCTTAAGCTTATCACGACACGGTGGATGAAAATTTATCAGAATGGATTGAGTGTCGTGTGGCTTGATATGAGCAATTTCATCCCTTTAACTCGTTGGAGTCGATTTTTTCCAAGCCGAAGAGAATTAATGGAGATTAATGGCAGAAATCTTTAAATGTGTATAAAAGGCACCAAAAGGAGGATTCGAATATTCGAGTTGGCATAGGCTAGATAATATGGGTCCACATTGAGTTTGAATCATTGGGAAATTTGGTTAACTTTTAGTTATTTTAATTATGCTATTAGGTAAGTATTGATTACCTTAATTATAGGGTAATCCAAGGGTCAATTGATTGCCTCAATTATGGGATAATCCTAGAGTCAAATATTGAGTACCTAATTATTTTTAATATGTTAAGAGTCAAGTATTGATTGTCTCAATTAGGGGTAGTCGAAGGGTCATAAGATGCTATAAAATGGGTATAATGTAATCTTGGTGAAGAAGTCAATGAATGAATAAAAATATCCTTTAAGGTTACTTTGTGAGTGATTCACAAATTCTGAAGGTGTGAGGCATTCTCTAGGTGTGAAGCCTAGGCCCTGTTGGAGTGATTCTAATAGGTTTTTGTTTTCAGTTGGTGTGATGCCAATAGGATTTTTCATGTTTTCAATCACTTCTCTCTACCAATCTGTTTATTTGAATTTCCAGCCACTACTCCTTTGTTTCTATACATTTCTACTATCGAACTTCCAAATTTCAGCCCTAGTTCTTTGGACTTTAGCCTCTAAATTCTTTGAGTTCTCAACTATTTAAGTCTTCTCCCTTGTCCTACATCACGTAATAAGGAACAAAATTTTAAGTTTTGGGAATATTACAAGAAAGAAAAAATAAATAAATAAATAAATAAAAAACACATTTGGTTCAGATGTTGATTTCTTCAATCTTTAGGTATTTAGATAACTTGAACGTACCTGAATGCATTTAGTTGGCAAGTCTGGTTCCACAGGCATTCCCGTTCTCGAGCTACGTGCTTTAGATTAGACTGTTCAAAATTTTAATTTGCAGAAATTGTTGATCTCTTTGATAACGCTCCCACTAAGGCTTAAACTCTCTTGCCTGCTGTGCACGTGATACTGCCTCATGCATTCCTCTAGTTAGGTGCTGCATCAGTTTTTCAACCTTCAGTTTTTCATCGACTTCTTCTTTTTGAAGTTAAATCGGAAACCCAATTTCACCATTACTTATGTGGATGTTAACTTAGGCAAATCATGAAGCCACTACAACAATTACAGTACCATATCACTACTGCCCCCTTCTGTTCTCAATTAACATAATAAGGAAACAAAAATTTTAAGTTTTGGGAATATTTCCTAAATAGTGTTCGTGTCTTCAAATGTGCTCATTCAACAAACTAAAAATTATCAATCCCTAACAAGTTAAACAATAACAACTGATTTCTATTCCAGTTTTTTTCTTTCTTCTATGTAAGTCCTAATCCATAAGGTTGACTATCAATTTTCTTTCACCAATACTAATACCAAACAAATTAACATTTACCCAGCAAAAATAAACACATAAATACACAGAGAAACACACACAGATATGATCTTGTTCGATAATTGTTTTCATCAATGTTCAGATATATAGATAACTTGAACGTACCTGAATGCTTTTAGTTAGAAAGTCTGGCTCATCAGACATTCTGGTTCACGACATCAGAGGGAGAATATCTAGCAATCGTTGGGTAGATCTCATAGCAAATCTTGAATATATTTGTCAAAATTGAAGAGAAAAAATCGTGGGGTTCAAGGAAAGTGAGTTTAGGGCTTTACAAGTCAGTAGTCAATATATTCGAAGCGGGGCGGAGTGCATCAAAAATGGAAGTGAGTGAATATTGCATTGACTTTTTTAGACAGAAAATTTGCTTTTATATATTTATAATTTTAGATAGATTATATATTTCAATCTATTATGATTATATTATAATATCAAAGAAATGATTCCAAAAGAAGTAATAATTGAGAAGAGGACTAAGGTTATGTTTGGTAGGGTGGGTTTAAAGGGGAAGGATAAGATTAGTTACGAGTAAAAGGGAATGGAAAGATAATTTTGATTTGGTATTGTGTTTGGTTGAGTAAGGAGAGAAAAGAAAGGGAAAGATAATAATTATGTTTGGGAAAAGAAAGGAGTGGAAACTATTTCAGTAAATTTACTATTATACTTTTTTATAATTTAAAATAAAAATTAAATTATGTAATATTTGTAAAAAAAAATAAATAAATAAAAGAAAAGAAAAATATGTAATATAAATATAATATTTTTAGGGTTAATCATTTTAGGGCCCCCGCCCCCATCTCTATTCTCGTTCTCTCTCTCTGCAACACACACACACTCTCTCTCTGCTGCAACTGCAAACCACAAAACTACAACAATCCAAGTTCCAAACCTATATGTTTATCTATCGTCTGCAAGAATCAAAGGTTCAAAACCCATACTGACATATTGTTTCAGATTGTTCCAAAAATCAAAACCCATATCTTTCAGTTTCCCTTGCTCGCTGTTCCAATTCGGGTTCGCTGTTTCCATCGCCGGCTGTTCCAGTTCGGGTTCGCTGTACACAAGTTTCAGCCGCTGTAAGCTTTCCCCCTCTCTTTTTCTCTGCAACGGCTAACTTATATGTATAGGTTTTGTTTTGCTAAATCAACCAATCAAGGTCTGTAATTCTTGTTTTGCTTAATTAAATCCTTAATTTTGTATGGGTAAAATTGGCATCACAAGTATCACATGTGCCATTGCCTTCCCTTTCCTTTCGTTTCCGCCCATTTTTGAGAGGTTAACAAATCTACTGTTTAAGACTTGCCTTAACCCTCCAAACCCTTCCCTCTCCTTTCCTTCCCTTCCACCAATTTTACCCAAACACAATTTTTTTATAACCCTCCATCACCTTCCCTTCCCTTTTCCTTCAAACCCACTCTACCAAACTGAGCCTAAAAGACGTTTTATTACTAGTTACCCTCTTTTGATATCTCAAATTCGTTCAACAAACACACACACACACACACACACACACACATATATACAGTGGCAGGTCAAGACATAAAATTATTACCAAGCTTTTACTTGCTCCACAAGTCCAATTTCATGCCCCCAACTTTGCTTGACCTCCAAGAATAAATAGCTGATAGCTTATGCCACAATATTCAGGGCTTAGTGCCCGTTTGGAATTGTTGTTAAAATCATAAAAGTGTTTTTAGTAGTAGAGCTCTTATAAAATTGTTATCTGTAAAAAAACATGTTATGCGTTTGGTGATGTATTTTATAAAGCGTTTTTATATTTAAAGCATTTTAAAATTTGTTTTGTAACAATGTTGCTTAACGCCCTTTTACTACCGAATTTACTAATATGATCCCTATCCTCGTATATTTTGTTTTAGTTCTATATAATATGAATTCTTGCTTACCAAAGGAAAAAAATAGAACATCAGCACTCATATTTATGAAATTCAAATTGTATAAGATTCAAGATCGAAGTTTAGTTTTACTAACTATAGCTTGATTTTTTTCATGAATATACTAATTGTAGCTTTATGTGAGTTTAGTTTTAAATAAAGTTAACCTAAGAGTGAAATCCAAAATTTTTCCAATGCAACTCTAATCAAAAGTAATAATTACCCGATTTAAGAAGTTGATCTAAAAAAACATGTTAATATATGGACAAGAAATAATATAAATATAGATTTTGGATAAATGAAAAAAATTGGATGATTATGAAACTAAACTCCTACGAAATTAAACTTCTAATATAACTTGAATTTCTAATATATAGGTTTCTTAAAAGGAAGGATACTGAATTTCTAATATAAATATATAGGTTTCTTAAAGGGAATGGTACGATAACAACAAAGCAAGTTCCAGTTTTCAGATAACACAATTTGGTTTGCATAATATTTGTATATTATTTTAACACTAGGGACAAAATTGTATTTATAAAAAGTAAAGAGGGATTAAATTGTCTAAAATAATATAATTGTCATAAAAAATCTACATCTACTTGAAACACAATTTTAAAAGCTATGATTTGTAGCTTCATGTGAATGCGCTTTTTGGTTGAAACCTCTACTACCTAAACGCACTTATTTTTGTCACCAAACGCATCTAACTGCGGTTTTTAAAAATAAAAGTGCCGCAACTTCGGTCGCCTAAGGCCCAGCCAATAGGAAGACCCCAAAATTTAAAATTTCCTAATATTAAGTTAGAGTATAATTATATCCTAATATTATTAAACTCTAATAAATATAAAAAATTTATATTAGGCCTCAAAAATTTATATCCTAAAATAACTTTTTTGTTTCTCCAATAAATTATTTTTTCTCTTTTCTCTTTTCTCTCTCTTCTCATTCATTCCGATTTTATATTAGGCCTCAAATATTTATATCCTAAAATAACTTCTTTTTTTTTTCTCTTTTTTCTCTCCTCCCTCGTTCCGTTGAACTCTAATTGATACATAAATTTCATATTGGCCCCCAAAAATTTACATCATTATATGACTATTTTTCCTTCTCTTTTTCTACTATCATTCACGTTTTACAATAAATCCTAACATTTATATAAATTTAATATTAGGCCCAAAATGTTGTATCATTAAATATTTTTTCTCCCTCTTTCTTTATTTCTCATTCACGTTTTTTACACCAATACTAAAAATATTTTTGGGTAAGTTACACCAACAGTAAATTATTAAATATCTATTTAACGTCGTTTTTTTGGGAAAATGGCGAAAAATTTTCATATATATATATATATTATGTTTTATCTTCTTCTTTTTAACAAGTCTTCTCCTCCCACTCTCATTAAAAATATACAGTTGTTATAACCACATTTTTATTATATTAAAAAATTTGTAGAAGTATTGGATTTGGGTTTTCTAAATCAGGTTCAATGGTTCTTTTTCTTTAATTATTTTTTAATGTTATTAAAATTTGTGTGTGTATATATTTGTATATTTTGTTTTTGAGCTGTGAATAATTTTATTTATATCATTGAAAAAGCCACTTTTTTTATTTTTCAAGCCCCAAATTAGATTGAGCCACCCCTAACAATATTCAATAGGTGGATCCCACTTTGTTTAGTTTATTTTTCTTTTTATGTACTCCATTATAATTTCATATGTTATATATCATGATAAACCTTTTTTTTTCGCTTTAATTTTTTTTTTTTAACTTGATTTATTGAAAATTAATATTTTTTTGAATTAATTTCTTGAGAAAATGTTTATAATGTTTTGTATATTTGCACCTAATTTTTAGAATCCAAGCGTAACTCAATTTAAATTTTGCTTGAGATCGACTCCATTTTTAACTAGTACTTTAACCGAGCTTATTTCGAGTTTCAAAAGTTGAAATCAAATTAAAATATATTACAAGTGGGGACTTATCCCACATCGGATCAGGATGGGAGAGTGATTGGGTATATATGGATTGAGTGTTAGCCTCACCTAATAACTTAGGTTTTTGGATCAGATCGCGAAGCACCCACCTATTACAATTGGTATCAGAGTCAAATCCAGTCCCTAATCGGGTATCATGCCAAGCATCTCGCCCGGAAGGCGACTATCATTACAGAATGCCTTAAGTTGAAGGTTTTATATATTGAATTGCCTTATTCGAACACCTACTTTCAACATTAAACCAATAGACTTATGCAATTCATGCCGAACTAATTAGCTCGGATAATGTTTCATTTTTTATTTCAAATTTACTTTTTTATTTAAAATTCACCAAGGATTATATCCAAGTGTTACATCCTCATTCTTCAAAGTGAAAATTTTCAAATCTTGTTAGGAAAAAATATATATATTTCCTTATAAAGTGAATTTCTTTCTAAGGAAAAAAAAATTACTTTGAAAAGTAAATACCATTCATGTCCATCCATTCATAATAAATAATATAGACAACGTGGCCAATAAAAATTGGGACAAGTACAGAAAACACCCCGAAAGTATACTCTATGTAATACTTTTACCCCTATTTGAAAAAGTGTGTAGAAAACACCCTTAATATTTTCACATTGTGCAAAAATACCCCTCACTCAGAAATCAGACATAAATTAGTGTTGTAATACACGTTTTGTCCTTTCACTCTTCCAAAAATGCCCAAGGAGGTATATATGTTACTAATCTAATAGTATAGGGGTGTTATGTGCATATTACTCTTTTTTTTAAAAAAAAAAAAAAAATTCTCTATATATATCTCTAAACTTTTTTTTTTTTTTTTTAAAAAAAAAAAAAAACTTTGGGAATTTGTAAACCAAGGATTTGAATTTTTTGAAATTTCAGTGTACTGTTTCTACTATAAAAAGAAATTTCTTTATTTTATTTTATTTTCGTACCAACACTGTTAAAAAAAAAAAAAAAAGGAAAAAAATTCCAATATCAATGTGCATTGATTTTCGGAGTTTGGAGTAGATTTATTTTCTTTAGTTTGCATTTTATTTTTGTTTTTTATTTTCTATTTTTATCTTTACTTTTCTTTTACACTTTTATTTATTTTTTATTTTTATCTTTACTTTTCTTTTACACTTTTATTTATTTTTTATTTTTATCTTTACTTGTCCATTGCTGGCATCCTCCAATAGTGTCATTTTCGGTCATTTTACAAAATTATTTGTTTTTATATATTTTATAAAATGGTTCAGTAAAGGTAATTTAGTCAACTTAGGGTTAAATCTATCAGAGGGGCCTATTTGCACCCAATTGAAACTTTAAGGATTTTTTTCATGTGAGAGTCGTCCTCCAATAGTGTCCTTTTTAGTCATTTTACAAAATTATTTTTATATATTTTATAAAATAGTTCAATAATGGTAATTTAGTCAACTTAGGGTTTA